AACGTCACGATAATTGTTACGCAAATAACAATCGACCTGTGTCCACCGGTGTTTATCTTTTCTACACGGTCACTCGCGGTCAACATGGAGTACCGTTGCACGTTTGCCCGGCATGTTAGGTGTATCTACGCAACTGTTGGTTGCTCATACGAGGATGTACTCTTCGTACTGCAAGCAAATACCAGTCCTTTGCCAATAATTCTTGCGATCACGGCGAAAACAGCCGCATCGTTGGCCAGGAAGCTCCGTTAAACCAGGCGCCGCGGCGAGCCGGCCTTCCTCGTTTCCTCGAACGATTTCAGCATGGATTCGGTTAATTCCTTACCGGGATACCACTGCCTACATAAAAATAGCGGGAACTTCGACGCCTGTGCACATTAATTCGAATGTTTCACGCTTCGAGGACGGGACAATGTTGCGTTACGTTGCACCATTGCGAAATAAAGGCACCACAATCTAATTCTTCGGCGCGTTATGAGCAGTGCGCGGTGTAAATGAAATTTCGAAAAATTCGGGAAAATTGGTTAGTTCATTTTAATTCAATTTTAGTTTCTTTATCATTTTTACTTTATTTTTCGCATATTTACTTTATTCGCTAGAATTAAGGGAGCGATCTAACTCGTTAGTAAAATTTCAGAAACTTAGCAACAAACCTTTTACATACCAAAATTAAGGGAATGATCCACCTTGTAAATAAAATTTCAGAAAATTAGAAAAAAACTTTTTACATACCAAAATTAAAGGAATGATCCTCGTCGTAAGTAAAATTTCAGAAAATTAGAAAAAAACTTTTTACATACCAAAATTAAAGGAATGATCCTCGTCGTAAGTAAAATTTCAGAAAATTAGAAAAAAACTTTTTACATACCAAAATTAAAGGAATGATCCTCGTCGTAAGTAAAATTTCAGAAAATTAGGAAGGAACCTTCTGCAGACTAAAATTAAAGGGAATGATCCACCTTGTAAATAAAATTTCAGAAAATTAGAAAAAAAACTTTTTACATACCAAAATTAAGGGAATGATCCTCGTCGTAAGCAAAATTTCAGAAACTTAGCAACAAACCTTTTAGATACCAAAATTAAGGGAATGATCCACCTTGTAAATAAAATTTCAGAAAATTAGAAAAAAACTTTTTACATACCAAAATTAAGGGAATGATCCTCGTCGTAAGTAAAATTTCAGAAAATTAGGAAGGAACCTTCTGCAGACTAAAATTAAAGGGAATGATCCAACTCGATACGAAAGCTCACAGTGATCGATTGTACTCAATTATAGTATTCAAACTGTCCACGTGTTACCATTCCAATTATTTCTGACACATTTCCATCGGTCATGCAACGCTATGTATATACGTATATATTAATGTTCCATCGCGCGGGCGCGAGCGCGGAGGCCACGGGATTGTTGGGCAAGATTCTAGATCGGAAGGAGCCGAGCGTAGGAGACGCCAGCCCGCTAATCGATATTTCCACGTTCCCATTGAAATTAGCACGAGCGAATAAACTCCCGCAATTCGATAATGTGACCGCGAAACGTGTCTCGTCCGTGCATACTTGCCACGCGAAAGGAAGCATATACACTCTCGTTCACAAGTATTAGAACACTTATCGCACACGAATTGCAAACATTCGAAAATTATTAACGTCCTGAAAATGAAAATATTCAGTCTGGAATCTTATATAAAACTTGGAAATTTCTATTTCCATTTAAGGTGCAGCCGTAAAAGTAAGATCCTAATAGCGTGTTATTGATTATGCCACACCGAACATTGTCACGAAATTCAATTTGAAAATGAGTTTGTTGCAGATCGTTGAACCTAACCGTTTTTGTATAACATAAAAATCAATTATAGCTATCAATTTAAAAAAAATTCGTGATATACGCGAAAATCATTGCAAATTTGAGAAATCGTATTGCACATGAAAAATAATGAAACTTTGTCCTCTTCTACTTTTTCTCCCAAATCTACCACTTACGAGAAAAACTCGCTAGAAGTTAATAGCGTAAACACCCTGTAGATTTTTACCAATATACATGTAAGTCGTTTATTTTGGTAGTGATGTAAGTCGATTTTCCTAAATATTGAGATATTTAAGGGTTCGCGTTTCAATCGACTGAAAAATATTAACGATCACTAGCAGTCTCGCTTTATGTTTTCTGTGGTGACAAATAATGAAACTTTTGAGGTATGTAAAATATATCGGAATTGCTCCAAGAAAAATCGGTACTTTGTGACCCGAAATGGTCCTACACCACCATCAAAATTATCAAATTTTCAATAATGTGACTTAAATCATATTTAATAGCTTAGAATTCAAGGTTTCTCCAAAAAACCTTGTTAATCCTTCATTCGTGTTATGCGAAGCAAAATTGCATATAACGTTAAACAACATTGTACATTAAAAATTGAAAAAAATATTCACGGTTTTTAATTTCTTAATTTAAAAGATCTTCATTGACACCGCGAGAAAGGTTTTTGAAATAATCGTGGTGCACAGGTGGAACATAAGGCAATAAATCACTCGTATCTTTATATTCAGCTGAGATTATGGGTATAGAAGTTTTGTACAGAGGTGATAATTTCATGTTTTTAAAATGTTCAACAACATGTTTTACGTGCAATTCATGCGTAATCTCGATTTTTTTTAAAAATCGACTTACGCCACTATCAAAATGAACGGCTCATATGATAAGTTTAGAGAAATTTCATTGAAATCGTATAACATAACAGCTTTCCTAATACTTACGAACGACACTGTACATACCCTGTTGTCTAGAGAACGCCCGCACAGGCCCCGCGTATCGCGTAATCCGTGTAACTTGTAGCATTCCAACTGGCGCACGCCTCGTGACGGCGTACCAATGCCGATTAATAGAGATGACATACCTGCTCATTAACATGGCATCGCGATTGTGCTCGTTACCTGATAAAGGAGCCAGCTAGGTAGCTGTCCCACTTTAGTCCTTTGTGCTCCTAAATCTAACTGGACTTATCATCATCATCATTCTATTCTGTTCTATTTCTCTTAACATTAGCGTATAACAAAGCATGGAAACGCAGATAAATTATGGAGAAATGACTATGAAAAATAGCGCAACTCTCTCTCTCCTCGATTAATAATCGTCACGTGTTGTCCCTCTCTATCGATGATCTTCATACGATCGTTACGCGAAGACCTCGAACAAGCGAACGATAAGCTTTTTACACAGTTTTACAGTTTCTCACGACAGGGAAAGTATTTTAGGGATTTACCGAACAGAACCAGTTTGCAAATAAATGTCAGCGCAGCTCGCCTTTTACTTTACGTTTCGCTCGAACGGTACCAGGCAGGGATGTACTATCAATATTAATGATACTTGTGTTTGTCATACCGCATTGAAATATATACCACGAGGAAAATATCGCCGGGATAATTTATTTGACGAACCTTGAATTTTATTTACCGTTCGGGGACCAGAATATTTGCGGTGCATTTCCATCGAT